AAAAAAAAAAAAAAAAAAAAACAAGAAAATATTGCAATGCAGTATCAGAAACATCATGAAAGGAATGAGTTAAGTAAATAACAAAATTAAGAAAATATATATATATTATATATATTTACTCACGTTTTCGACAAGTTTCTCGATAACAGCCTGCACATAAGCTCTGAATTTGGATCTTATCATCACAGTTACTTCACTCAACCGCTCTCCGGGAACCATATTCCCAGTCTCGGGCATGCTACAGCCCCACTGCTTCAACTTCGATTCTATTTGGGGACGCAAAATATCGAGCATCCTTTTCATGGAATTCAAGACGATTCCCAACTGAAATAATATAAATAAATCTAAATGACTTAGCCGGTAAAAAAAAAAAAAGGCGAAAGCAGGAATCACTGTCTCGCAGAGAACACACAACTCATCATCAACTGTGTACCTCAGTCGAGACATTGTAAGGAGATGGATTTCCCTTGGCAAATTTCTGCATATATTTGAGACCGAATTTCATTGGCATCGTGCTTTCTTTCAGAGGAGACAAAGTTTCCGCATACTGTTTCTCCAGGCTTTCCACTACAGCCTTCTCAACATCTGCTATGGCCTTTTTCAGGGAAAAAGAGAAAAAGTGAGCAAAAGAAGTGGCCCATATGATATTAAACAACGGTAGGGGCACATTAATATTCATCACGATTTTTATTCTTAATGCATCCTTAAAGAATAAACAAAAAGATGTGCAAGGAGAAACTCGTACATTTTCCAAAGCGAAAGTGTATTCCGGCCACCGGCTGATAATGACATCATATTCCAATAGAGTCTCCTTCAACCGGTCATAGATATCATCAATGAAAGGAGTCGTCGAATGCTGGCTGGCAAAACCGGCAGATTTGACCTGGAATATTATTAGCTCAAGTTAAAATTACTCAGAAATATGAATCTCAAGATTTAGTCATGGAATTAGCAGTGGATTTTGAAAAATTAACGTATTCTTCAGTTTTCCCCATCGGCCAACCCAAAAACAAAAACAAAAAAAAAAATGATTTAACAATGCCTTTTTATGCAGCCACCATGTTGACATTTCTCTATAAACTATGCATAGGGAAGATTAGATAGATATAGATGCCCGAGTGCAGCAGAGAAAGTAATATAAAATAAATATAGATGGCTAGAGATTCATACCCTGTCAGGCTTACACAACTCCAATAAACCGAGACGCTTATCTTGGATCCACAGTGTTATATACACCTGGAACAGCTCTTTCGCATCGACCCCACCTTTTATGTAACTACAAGACAAATGCGTTATGAGGATCAATACAAAAAAATTATAACAGTTAGCCAAAAAAAAAAGACTTATCAATTTCAGTTTACCTGACGTCCCACAAAGAGAGGTCCCTCTGAAAATCAGCGGTGGCCATCACGAGTTCTACAACAGGTGGTGATGGCCCGGCAGGAGGGCATGAGACGAGGAAGGCCCGTAATCTGCTGTACAGTTCTGTGCTATAGATAGACGACGACAGGTTCGGGAGATCCATAAAACTGCACAAGGAATCACAAGAAAACAAATGAATGTCGGGTTTAGGAGTTGTTACTAAAATACATGCTGGTTTTGCTATCAAAAATTGCATGACGCGTGGTGCAGAACATAATTCTTCAATTTGCAGCCACCTTGCATGCAATAAAGTAAATTATTTCATATCAATAGAATCTTGAAGGTTCAACCTAAATTTTCAGGGTCAGTATCTAAAGAGAACTTTCAAAAATTTCAGAGGATAATCCATATACATTAAAGATTCCTTTATTATGCACAAGATTCTAACTCATTTAATTCACGGCGAAACAACTACCTTATTATGTGCATTTATTACACAAACTTCATAAAAGAATTATATATAAGTCAATTACCTAGGAAGAAGATCCTGCTTATGAATCTCGATGTCGGTCAAAATCTCATTTCGTATATTGAGGCAGAGGGTCTTCATCTTCTTGTACGCTGTAGAAAGCGCCACTGGATCCAACAACATGTTTTCATTATTGTTGGAGACGAATTCGTCCGTTTCGGAAAGGTGCCTTCGAGACCTTTTCCTTGTTGCATTCTGCAGTAACACATGCCAAATATTATTATTATTATCACTATTTTTAATGAAGTATCTGATATTATAATTTTGATCCTAGAGCCTTTTTTCCCACCTGAAAATATCTGCACAATTTGAGCTGCACTTCAGGCGAGAGAATGTCATACAGAAGTTTGTAAAGCTTCAAAGCAGGAGCAAGGGCAGGGGCAGCCTCCCCCGTAGCAGGCCCAAACACGTCAACAATTCCTGAGGGGGCAGACTCGTCCAACGACTTGTAGTTTTCAAAAACTAAAGTGAGTATCTGCTCGATTTGTTCAGACACCTCTCCCAGTAGACGGACCTAAGTGTAAAATTGTTGGAGTAAAAAATAATATTCATTGTTGTAAACACTATTCATCTAGAATTAAAAGCCGCAAACCCCGCATACAGCACAAACGATTAACCTTCCATCATAAATTACCCTTCAATCCAGTCAAAAGTGAAATAATTTTTAAACTCGGTAAGCAAACAACTCAAAAGGCTACAATAATGTCTCCATTAAAGGGACATTATTTTTGCCTTTGATTATAAGTGAAGTTTGACATAAATTAACCAACCTCCTGGTGACTTAAGCTCTGCTTATTTTTGCCTTTGATTATCACTGGTTGTAATAAATCATGCACCAAATCTAGGCAATCTGCAGTTGGTGTGGCGACATCCATCACATACGAAAGATACCTGAAAAGATATCAAAGTTTGAATTAAATGAAGTACCAAACACAGCAGGATTGCAAACAGATAATTATTTTTTCCAATAACCATCAGAGCATGAATTTTTTTGGTGCACCTGAGCTTTGTATATGCATCTGAAACTCCAAAATAAGATGCAAATTCGGTGACCAACCACTTCCAAGCGCCATGTAGCAACAAGTTTCTTTGCTGAAACTGTTGAACTTTCATTGCAGTCTCTAACACACAATCGTATGCAGTGGTCTCCGCCACAGATGCACACTTTAACATAAATACATACAAGTTAATGAATCTAATTTTAGAGAGGAAAGATAAAAGTTTTTGACAAGTTACGTCATATAACCATTAATACTGCAATATTGTTGTTCCTTATATTATTTTTATGATTCAAGGCCCAAATATTTGGACCAAACAAATCATTTCCATGCAATATATAGAATACGAAACAAGGTTGTATTATTGATAGAGATTTACCTGTCAATTTAAAGAGCATATTACATGGTCGCTGAAAAGTTTCTTAATATTGTCAACAATTTGAAACAAGATCACTAGTCACTAGTCTTAGAAAATCATGATCAAAGGACGTGCAACCATACTATATAAAATCTTCTCTCCAACACAATCAAAGGCTAGAGCAGAAATCTGGAACTTCATCTCATCACATATGACATTGAAAATATTTTTATACAGAAACAACTTTTGTATCCTTTTAGTATGTTATACAGCTCAGTTCATCTCGTGAAGAAACAATACCTTGTGATTATTTTCATCATGAGTCGTTGAATAGCTTATGCTCAACTGTATTTTTCCAATTTGTTCATGATCAGGTTCCCTATATATAAGACACTGGCGAGGCTTCTCCCCCTGGCATTAAGACAATTAATAAGACTGAACACGTTCAGAAACACAGCTAGACCTGTTTCAGCAAAATCATAAAAATCGTATTAAAAAAAAAAAAAAAAATATTGGATCCGGACACAGTACCGATTCGTCAGCAATATCAGCAACCTGAACTAGAGCTTGCCCACAATATTTTCCTTTCGAATCATGAACTTCGATGATAAGATCATCTCCAAATCCATCAGGCAAGCTATAAATGAGCAGAAAAAAAATTTAATTAACATGTCTGCAGATTAAAGTAATGTTTTGAAAAAGAGAGAAAGAAAACGAGAGATAAATAAAAGACGCAAAACTTGCACATACAATAAGCGGGATTCACCAGATCCTGGCTGCATTCTTGCTGCATCCTCCTCAGGTGAGCTCTTTAATCTCAACAAGCATGAATATGATTCTAAAATAAAAAAACACATCTCAAGATACTTCACTCATCATAACAAGAAACAAAAATAAGTCAAACCCACCGAAAAATCCCAAACCTATACCTGTTTGCATACCTTGCACAACTTCATAGGATGCTGAAGTGCTACGCCAAGCACTAAAACCGATCTTGATAAGCTCAGGTACTTCTTTCAAGTATCTACGTGTCCCAACAATTATGTATGCCATCTTTTGCGGTAACAAAGAGCCATTGACAGTCATTACGGGGATTATACGATCTCTCCGTAAGGCCTTCCTCTCAGCCGTCACAATAGATTTCATATTTGATAACCGGAGCTGAAGTGATTCCAACTTTACCATAGATGAAGATTTTATTGATGTGAATGAGCAACCTGTGGGTGGCTCCACACCCATTCTCACTTTACGAACTGAAAAACAATGAGGATTTCACAAATGAGAACACACTACAAACAAACAAAAACCTGAAATAGATTGCCACCAAGAACAAATATACAAACCTTGCACTTTAATTTTCCCAATGGTTTTCTTACTCTTCACATAAGCTCCTTCACCGACAAGATCTGAAGAATTCTTCTTCATGAGTTCCTCCTCTGATTGCAATAACACGTGTTTCAACCTACAAATAGACAAGAGATAGTTCATGACCAATGCAATAACCTGTTCACTTTTAGACCGACTCCCTACTAATGTAGCATATTTCCATGCGTAGGGAGCCAACAACTGATGCTCCTGAAAGAACATTACTAGTACTCAGCTTATCAATAAATTTGCTACAACTATACTTCTACACCAGTCTACACTGTAGATGGGAAAAATGAGACGAGAAAAAAGAACTCTAGTTACCACTAAATCATGAAATATGAATGTTAATTCAATATCCAAAAACATCACAAACCAGGAACATAACTATCCGAAGTCTATCTTCAGCTCCAGTTCCAATTCATGTTTTTATTTTTATTTTTTTTTTCTATGATGCAAAGAATGCAGTAAAATATTGTAATTAATTTCAAAATCTAATGAGAGCATCCTTCAACATCAATGTCTACCAATTGCATAGAAGAGAGAAAAGATTTTGGCAGGTAATTTACAGTCTTTACCCAAATGCTTCCCTCAATAGAGCACATTCGCTTTCCAAAAATGGAGGAGCTTCCATACAACCCTTTGCCCAGGAGTGGAGACAGAGGCGGACACAAGCATCGTATGAGAGGACAGAGTACCAATAACCAAGCCCACTGTATCCATTTAAGGGAATGAAAATATGAAAAGGTAGATTTAGTACTTCAGAAATAGAAAAAAAACACAAAAGAGTGCTATGCTTTTTATGAAGCAACAATACTATAAGGTCCAGCAAAATTAGTTAGTTAGCTTACCTCGCATGAAACGTAGGGTACCGAGCAGGCAAAGAACTCGAAGATGCACCTTTGTTCCTGTAAAATAATATTTATTTAACTTTACATATTAAAAACCTAGCGGGTAGGAGTTGGATGTTGCATTTAACATCCACGTATGTACCTAGCAGATATTTCACAAGCTTCGACTTCTGACTTTGAGCTTCTGCACTTGTTAGGTTCAATCCCATCAGCAGAGCCTTCGGACTTTGCCAATCGAGGGGTAATATCAGTAGCACTTTTTCCAGAAAATTCGTTTAAATTCTGATAAGAGCCAGCTAGTGGAGGCGCACTCGGAATATCATCATCAGAGAATTTGATTTGCTGCCCCTAAACATGACAGAAAATCCCATATTGCACACATCATTTACACGGATAACAAATAATTAGCTACAACATTATTCACTATTACTAACTACAAGAAGAAGATATTCCCATACCCCTCTCGTACGATCCCTGCTGGCACTAGACGAATCAGCCCCCGGATTGAAGTTCCTTCTCTCGGGTAAAATATTGTTATTACCCCTGGGTGGTGTGGAGTTCACTTCCGAGCTCGTGACAGAATCAGATGAATCATCTTCATAGGCATAATCACGGCGAGCAGCGGAAGAAAACCCAGGCGCCACCTGTCCTCCTCTAAGCCTTTCCAAATAGGTGCCTTGGTTGTTGCTGGCATCACTGCTGTATGTGTTGGGGCCCACACTGTGTCTGGACACACCGTTGGGAATTTTATCGTCCTGTGGTGAGGCCTCAGGAGAGTACCGTGTGCCATAACGATCCCCCTCCGAATCGGATGTGTCCATATCAGATTCGGATAGGGTTTCGAACATGCCCGAAGAAGAAGGCATGTGGGCCACCCGGTACCGGGATACAGACGGCAACCCGAGACTGTTGCCGCGGAATCTGGAGCCAGCTGGATTCGACATTCCCTTACCTACTCATTAAGCCATTAAACGAAAAAAAAAGACTGTAAAAATCGAAAGGTACAGCATACCGAAAAACTAAAGCAAAAATAATGATGACAAAAAGGCTTGATTTTGCAGCAGGATTTAGTGATTTACAGAACCCAGTTCTCCATTTTCATCGCTGCCCTTCAGAAACCAAAGAGACTGTAAAACCCCCTTACCTTAACTCAGTGTGAACAAACATAACCCATTCCACGAAATTCAAGAAACGCACCCCCTAAAAGGAAATTCATCATAAATGCACACGGAAAAAAGACCCATTATTATGGTAATCGACACCCACAAATGCACACATAGAAAACGGTAAATAATTACTGTAATAAGAGACGGCAAATAATGCAGCTTACTGATTAGAGTGTGAACTGGGAGAAGTCCAACTCTTTTTCGATTCAATAACTTTTGCTTTTTCTTCTTCCCTCTTTCGATTTTCGCGAAAGTTTTGTTCTTTTGCCTACAAATTCTTGTAATTTTCTAATTCCACTCAAGACCCACCGACCCAATTTCAAAATCTCTTGATAAAACAAGATATGGGTTTTTTTTTTTAAGCTAAAACCCAGAGATTGTTTTTCTTGAGAGAATCAAAATCAACCCTCAAGACACTTTTTTTTTTCATCGGGGGCAGAAAAGAAGACGTAGAGAGAGAGAGAGTGAGAGAGAAGAGAGAAGAGAGCGATTTTAATGGTGTGCGTGGATGAGATGGAATGAAGTTTGAATCGCTTGCCAACGGTCAGTCTGTTTAGTGGCCGCCGCTTTAATGGGTTTATGGCTTTCGTGTGTTGGGATTAAGGTTGTTTAAACATTAAATTAATGAAATACTGATGTTTTAATTATGAATTCTAGAGATCATAATAACAGTAGAGGATGATGCTATCACACAATTTGAAGTTCGAATATCTAAAAGAGATTGCACACACCAAAGTGAAGAGAAGAAGTGTGTTATTCAGTACATTTACCTTTAAAAAAAAAAAAAGATTTCTTTAATGTTAAAAATACTTTGGTGTGTTGCTCTAGTGGGTATATTGGTGAGGTTTAGATGTGATAGGGTGGGGTGATTAAGCAAAACAGAGTTGAAATCGAAAAACCGAGTCGGACCATGCAATTTGTTCAATGAAAAAAGTTTTTGATTTGGTTTTGTGGTGCGGTGCAATTAATGTTTTTTATAAGTTTGGTTTTCGATTTTGTTCGATTATGCGTGTTTTTTGTACTGAACTATACTAAATTGAATAAAATGATAGAGTAACAGTGACAAAATCGAAAATCGTGTTGAGCCGTGTCAGTGCGGTTCGGTTATTTATTTCCAAGTTAAAAAAACTTCGATTCAATTTGGGTTTGGTTTTTTTTCTAAATTGCAGTGGATTTCAGTTATTTTTGTCATAGATTCGTTTTTTTTTTTTTTTGTTCGGTGCAGTTTTACACCCAAATCATATTGTTGCTCGGAGCTACATAAGTGGTGTTACATCTATTGAAGTGTTCTATTTGAACACACTTATTTCCATTTTTCAGTTTCATATGTGTTCTTCTCATTTAATAACACTTCTAGTAAGGACTAGAGAAAAAAATTATGTATTTGCAAATTCCATGATGAGTTAGGTTAAAAACAAGAACCGTTAACTTATGAGTAATAGGGTTGGGTGGAAAATGATTCACATGATGACATTGGGTCCAATTTGGCTGGATTCACTCTAATTTGAATTTTGTATATCAAAGTTTCAAATCAACCCATTTTCAACAAAATTTATCATTTAATTAAAAAAAAAAAAAAACATTTTCAACAAACTTCCTCAACATCAACAAGTGTTCACCAACATCTAACATGTAGGTTTTGGTATTACAGATGAGCGTCTTTTTGGTTGCTTACAAGTAAAGTGGCATAAAAAAGAAAGGAGATGTAGATTAAAAAAAAAAAGGTATTTTAAAATATTAATTCTAGGAAAAATAAATATATAAGTAAAAAAAATGATTTCAAGGATCAATATACAATATGAAAATGGGAAGCTAATGGATTATTTGTCGAACTTCCACGTATATTACAAAATTATGAAGAATCAAAATATTCATAAAATATATTTTGTTCTAAATTATTATAAGCCAATGAGTTATCTATCGAATTGTAATAGTGAATTATAAGTTTAGAAAGAAAAATTAAAATATTTATGATACACATTGTCACAAACTATAATGACCAACCAACGAGTCATCTGTCAAACATGTAAATATTTCCTTCAAAAGGAAAAAAGAAATAATTATAATGTATATTGTTATAAATTTTAAGGATAAATCAACAAGTCATATATCAAACAACAGTGTAAATTGTTAGAGTAAGAAAAAAAAAAGTTATAATATTTATAACGAATAATGTTATAAATTATATAACATATGGTGTCTAACTGTTGTATGATGTATTCAATTGAAAAGAAAATTCATAATATTTATAATATACTTTATTAAATTAAACTATTAAGATAATTTTTACGTAGTTAATAATTAGTAAATTTTATAACCTTAAAGTAGTATGCACTACATTATATTTAAATTAATTGTCGTTATATAATATTTATCACAATTTTTCAACTTTAGCATAACTTATTTATGAATCAAAATAATATATTGTGACAAGGTATAAGTAAGAAAGGGGAGAGAAAAGTAATTTTGTGAACATTATTTATTAATAATGTTTGAATATTAAATTTTCATTATACAATTTTAAATGAAAGCTAATTTATAATGTGTGAAATAAGTATATATAACATATATTAAACAATTACATATCATAAACGTAAAAATTAATATTAGTGGTTGAAATTATTTTTATGTTAATCAATATCCTGCCATTGCTTTAATTAATTCAATTTATTATTATAATCTTGTGCATCGCACAACCTACTTACTACTAGTTACTAGTTAGTTTGACGTAATCTTCAATATGTACTTTGGATATTTTCATAATCCAAGTTTACTAAGTCTCCGACTTTTCTTAAAATATTTTGAAATCCACAATACAAATATAATTAATAATAAATATTACAAATTTAATTAATTTATAAGTAATTAAATAGAAAACATAAGCATGTCTAATAGGAAAACATAAGCATGGCTCAAGAAGCGGACTGTTACTTTTGTGGAAACCTGGAGACTACAATCCATGGTCTGCGTGACTGCCATCTTGCCCGGCGTGTTTGGGAGACAGTAGTTCCGGGGCCCGTTCAGCGGGATTTTTTTGCTCCCGAAATGCGGCGGTGGTTCTAGGACAATCTGGTGGCGTGCAACAGTGAGGAGGGAAAAAAGAATTGGGCGACGGTGTTTGCTGTAACCTGCTGGAGGTTGTGGCATTGGAGGAATTTAGCCATTTTTGAGCATAAAGTGATGCCCCTTGAGGTACAGATCAACGACATTAGGCGACGGGTGGCCCGGTATGTAGAGTACATGAAAAGTGAGAGATCTTTGGGGGTGTCATGTCGTCGGTATGAGGACCGTATGATCCGCTGGTCTGCTCCACCAGAGGATTGAATTAAAGTTAATTCTGATGGTGCTTTGTGTAATAGTTCGGGTCGAGGTAGTGCTGGCGGGCTTGCACGGGATTCACACGGACACTGGCTGGGTGGATTCCTTTTAAATGTGAGCTTATGTACTATTACTGAGGCGGAATTATGGGGTCTCTTTCACGGTCTTCGTCTAGCTTGGGCGTTGGGAGCGAAGAAAGTGCTCGTTGAGGTCGATAACAGTAGTGTAGTAGCGATGGTAATAGGATCTGAGGAGAACTTGAGCTTCCATGAAAATATTATACACTCTATACGTGAGCTGCTTTAACGGGAATGGGTTGTTCAGTTATCTCATATTCATAGGGAATGAAACTTCGTGGCAGACAAGCTAGCCTCTTTGGCTGCTACGGTACAGGTAGGCTAACATCGTCTTTGGGACCCTCCATGGGAGCTTAGGCATTGTTTGAACCATGATTTGGTCGGCGTGGCTCACCCACGTCGCATAGCGTTTTAGGATTACTTTTGCTTAGGCCTCTCTTCTTTTACCCAAAAAAAAAAAGGAAAAAAATTATCAAGAAACAAGAGTTAAAAATCCTCAGGTTTGACATGTCAATAAAACATTTTAGCACTATCATCATCACCATCATTATTATTATAGTATTAATTAATTTACTTATAATAAATTATCGAGAGATTCTACAAGTCAACTATTTTCACGAGATTTATAATCGTTAGATGAACTATATATGACGATTACATAATAATTTAACAGTATCAAATTTTTGAGGGATATTTTCCTAAAATATCGTTACGTTTTCTCGAACTCATTCACCTTTTACAGTTGTTTTATAGATTTTAGATGGGCCTGATTTGAACTAAAAACAATATGGACCGGGCCCTATATCAAAATCTGGCTCGACGGGCTGGCGCCGCCTGTGACAGCTCTATTTGGAGGGTAACCAACGTCAAATCAGAAGATATTCGTACCTCGCCTCTCAAAAATATACCGTTGCCCGCCGCCGCCAGGACACTGCCGTCGTTGAAGCCATGGACGCCCCCAAGAGAAAGAGAGACAGGACAAGCACGGGCAAAACCTCACAACCTCATCTTCAACATGAAGAAGACGATGATGCCAAAATTAAGAAGAAACTGAAGAGAGCCGAGGTTGGCTTCAATGGAGAGATTGGCCAAGGAAAAAGCGGCTCAGGGATTATGAGCTCTGAGACCTTTTCTTCCCTTTCGATATCTGGGCCCACCGCGAACGCCATCAACGACATGGGTTTTCAGTACATGACCCAGGTATGGATTTTCTTGATTGATGGGCAGATGGGTTATCTTAACTGGTAATTGTATTTATTGTGCTTTCTGATTTTTTTTT